ATTGAGATACTTAGCAGAGAAGGTTTCACCAAAAAAAAAAAAAGAAAGAAACTGGAACAAAAAAAATCACCTAATAGAATGGAGCTTATGGGAAATTGTATAGAGACAAATAGAAGAGGTGGGAAGAATTATCTAAGAGTACAAAGAAAACTAAGCAATTTTTTTAAAAAGGCAAATTTTTGCTTCAGGAAAAGAGTAAAAAATAAGGAGCAATCAAAGTATACTACAATGCTCAGCTGTGAATGATAGTTGCCTAGCAAAATCATGTAAATATTGCATTTTAATTTAATTTCACATAGTAATTTAACTATACTGGGAGGATGGGGCAAGAGAAGTAGTGGGAATGGTGATAACAGAGCTAAATCTTCATCTATTGAGACAGAAAATCAATTGACAAGGTTTAAAATTGATGAATCGAAAGAGATACGTGCACAATGTTAGAAATACAGAGATGTGCAAATGTCAGAAGAAACAGCCAGAAGAGTCCAAAACAGTTACCTCTGGTGAGGGAACTGAGGAAAGTGAGAAGAGAGAGAGGGGATGGTCAGTGACTCTTTTTTTGTTAGACGGTTTTTAGTTCTATTTGACCTTTTAAACTACCTTGATAAAAAATTTAATTTTAAAAATTCTTTCTGGATAAAAGATTGTTTTAATGTCCACTGAAAGGAAAAGCAATACGAGTGTCGAGGGAATCTGTAAAATATATTTTCCTTAAATAGAAAAATATCCACACTAAAATGATTTTTAAAAACCTTTAATTAGATATCAAAGCAACAGTGATATTACCTAGACAAGTAAAACCACTTTTAGTTGTTTCTCTTAATTCAATAGCTACTGTTGGAAAACTTCAAAATTTAAAATCAAAGGAGATTTAACTACTGATCAAAGCATTTAGGAACAATGATCACCTTTGGTCTTGGCAAAATGGGAAGCCCAGCATCTTTACTGCTCTTGCCACCCTCTCTGCTTGGATAATAAGAGCTAATAGTTAAAAGCATTTACTTTTTGTCAGGCACCGTGCTTTTACACACATTATGTCATATATACATACATGGTGCATTAATCCTTACAGCAGCCCTGCGAGGTAGGTACTATAATTATCTCTATTTTACAGATAAGAAAACTGAGTCTCAAAGAGGCTA